AAAAAAAAAAAAAAAAAAAAAAAAAAAAAAATAATAGAGAAGAAATTAAAACAGAGAAAAATTTTATTTTTTGTTGAAATATTCTTCACTCGAATTTTATGATTCCCGTGAAGTTTTTGATATATGAAAATGATAACTTTATGGAAAAATTATAAAACTTAAAAAAAATTATATTACATATTATATATATTAAATGTTTACTTATATATATTAAATGTTATAAAATGTTATTTTATATAAATGCTTGTAATTTACATTGAAAATTATCAAGATTTCATAGTTGCAAAACAAATAATGATAAAATTGATTGAATGAGTAGTTTGTAAAAGACAGACACATTCGTTTTCTTCCATGTATTATTTGAATGCATTTATAAATAGTGCACATGATATTCACAAAAAGATGCAATTCTAAATAGCGTATTTGAAAATATAGTTATTACATTTCCCGAATATTTTTATTTTTATGGGAATTTTATACCTGAATTCTCTATTGTAGCCTTGTAGTATGATTTACAACATTATTATTTTATTTCTACATTTTATAGATAACATATCTTTTTATTAATGTTGTGCTTAAAAAAAAGAGAGAGAAATTTTATTAATATTCAAAAATTTGATATTCATTAGGCATAAAACTTGAAAATTACCATGACTTTTTAATGTAGCGACGAACCTTTGGTGCAAATTTTCTCAACATAATTTTTATCACTATAAACCTTGGCCAATAGCTACATTAAACGTTTAACATAATACATATGTATTATGTATTTGATATACATGCTACTGTTCTTTAATGAATTGATTATTACAAGTTTGTTTCGATTTACAATTAGTAAATTATACCTGTCTTTAACACTGAACATATTGAATCAAAAACAAAATAATAAAAATCGTAATAGATCTTTATGATCGTTATTGTTTTTACTGAAGTATTTAACATACTATTCAACGTAAATATACATGGTGGAGATTTGACGGAATAATTCAAGATAAAAAATTGATTTTAAAAAATTATCTTACGTATTAATTAATTAATTACGTATTAATATTAATTATATTACGTATATAATGTTTATGTACATTCGTCAACTTTAAACGAAAGTGTATTTCTCGTAACAGTCGCATATGAAATGTTTTCTCACTTTCGTATTATATAAATTAAAATCCATCAAGATGAATTAAAAGAGCCATGATAACTGTAGCTCCAGCTTCTTTAGTAGCCCATTTGACAGATTGAAATTGTGAATCATCACTATCTTTACTACCAGAATTGATTGTATATGAGCCAGGCCTTACTAATAATTGAAATGCTGTAGATGCATTTAACTTTTTATTTGATTGAGTATCGATATATCTATAAAAAATAAAAAATAGGAAATGAGAATAATCCACAATTAATTATTGTTATATATAAAAATATTATATATATACTCACGGATATTTTTTGGTAAATTCTTCGGATGCTGCATATTTTATACTAGGAGAGAAAACTACTTGAGGATTTTGATCTTCCATTTTTATATTCATTGTTAAATTACTCAAATCTAATTGTTCTTTTGGCATTAATTCTCCTGTATCCAAAATTAATCTAAAAACAAAAAATTATAATAATAATAAAAAAAAATAATAAATACATAAGATATATATAAAAAACTTTTTCCGGAATCTTAAATGTATTTTATTTACCTAATTGCGTCCAGACGTATGCCATAAAAAGCAACATGCCATTTATCAATTGTATTTTGTGGAATTTGATTAGCATTAATACTTTGTTTCAAAGGAAATCTGGTCCATCCAATTGGTACAGCAAACTCTGCTGGTGGTTCACCTTTCTTACATATTGCACTATCCCCTTCTACTTTATAACAATTGTTACAATAACATAGTATATCTTCTAAAGAAAAGAATTCATCTGGTAAAACAAGTGATTTTTTTAATCTCATACACGCCTTTAAATATTCACACTTTTTTGTGGATATTATATTTGTTCCAAGAGGAGTGGACGGTAACGATGAATGTAACATAGAAGGTATATTGTAAATAGAGACTGTATTTTGTCCTAAAATTGTATTTCCACTGACAGAATTATCAACAGATACGATGTTATTCCAAGATATATTTGATCGCATTTCGTTGAAACTAGAAGAAACAGTATTCGAAATTTCAGATGTTGCGTTATTTAATGTATTATGAGAGGAAAATGTCTGAGATGAATTTAACATATTAACAGATGCATTATTTTGATGCAAGGAACTCATATTATTCCCTTGACTATTAGACATTATGCTTTCGTTTATCGCATTATTAGTGTTAGTATTTAAGTTAGTTATGTTACTGGTGCTGTTTGCAGTGCCATTTTTAATATTAATATTAGTTGCGTTATTTATTTCTACATTTGTACATTCATTTCTAATACTCAAATTTTCTGATTGACTATTCAATATCGCACTATTATTTAACTGATTTGAATTATCATAAGATTTGTTTTTAATACTTCGTGTTGTATCATGATTTATATCTGAATTCGAATCTAAATTATTACTGTCTGAGATACTGGGCACTGCTTTATTTTCAATATTATTTGTTAAATGCATATTATCATTATTACGCGTTGTATATCCTACAATATCATCATCTTTAACATTTGAATTGCATTGACTCGGCACACTTGGCGAAGTGGAGGAAGATAGATCTGAAGAAGTAGCTGCCATAATATTTTCTTTCTCATGACATTCTAAATCTGCTTTCTCTCTTGAATTTTCTGTATCCTCCAGCTTTGTCTTTATACATTCTACAGATGTGAGGGTATTACTAACAGTAGTAGATGAAAACGGTTCTCCATTATTTGAAACAATGGAAATTTGTTCGCACTGTCCATATAGATCAAATACAGCATAAACATAAGGTGGTAAATCTGTTGCAGCTACACCTTGATCTATGCCATTGATAATTAAATGTAATCTATTATCGTCATCAATAAATACACCCACTACGGAATTAACATGAAGATTTTCTAAAGCAAGTCCATACTTTGTTTTTACCTAATATTATAAAATTTATTAAATTTATTATATATTTTACATCTTATAACAATTTAATGAATACTTACTCTTATACCATTATGTGATATCCAATCACTACAAATAATCCAAGAATGCTTTTTAAAGCCAAGAGCAGTTAAAGGAAAATTAGCTTTTTCAGGTGAAATGCAAGTTACACCACAATAAATATTAGATACCCATCGTTTGTTCAATTTCTCTATTTTCACCAAAAATGGCTTAGCTTTCATTAAGGGTCGACTAGACATTACCACTCCTTAAAAATATAATATGATATAAAAAATATTACAATTAATAAATCTATATTTATAAGCAATACCTTGATTATAACTTGCAACTCTTCGTGCAATTGTTTTACTTTCAAGTTGAATGTTTCTACCATGATTTTCATGAAATTCATAATTCCAATCATTTTCTCCTGTCAAATGAGCTGCAGATTGTGTCGGTGTAAGTATTGTATCATTTACTAATTTTCCTTCAGATATATCTATAGATGTGTCCATTCCAGCATCACTATATATATGAAGCAATAATATTACATATTTTCAAATATTAAAAAGATATTTACATTGAATATAATTAATATACAAACGTACTTTCGCAAAACAGGCGGCATAGGATCTAACAATAATTCCAAAGAATCTTGTAATCTCAAGCTTGCATTTGGAGATACTACATTGTTTTGTTGTTTACTACTTGTTATATTTACAGCCACTGTACTACCAAAAAGATCGATCACAGCATACACCATTTCCGGTATGCCTGATGCCGCTATACCCATGTCCTCTCCATTTATATAAAACTTTAAATTACCTTCATGAGTACGTTTCAATCCAATTTTATCACCAACACGCAGCCATTCCAAACTTGGACAATAATTTATACATAAAACATAACCATTATGTCTTACTTCATTACCTAAATATATAAAATCAAAAAATATAATAAATGATATAATATTTATTACATTTACTTTATATTACTCTAATATTACCTGTTAAATACCATGCATCTGTTGAAATAGATCCCATGCCAGGTACAAGATTCATAGATGTTAACCAATTTCCACTTTCATTTTTTACAACACCTATCCTTAAACAACCACTCCATTGACGAGCAACTTCTTGAATAGCAATTTCAAAAAGTTCATTATTCTCTAATGGTGTTTCACTTAATAATATAGCATTATTATATTCTCTACACCTAGTTGCTACTGTCCTATCACTATTTAATTGAACATTTAAGCCAACAGATTCATGAAATTTATGCATTATTTCTGTTTGAGCTTGAAGCTGAATTACAGATGTAGGTTGTTGACTAGTACTGTTTTCTGATGGCAAATACTGTTGTGTAATTGGATCTCTACGTTCTGGTTGTACAATTGTAACCTGGTTGTACAATTGTAAATAATTAATATATATATATCATATCTTTTATCATTTTATATTTATAAAAAAGTATAGAATAGTACCTGAACACATTGTCCATATAATTCAATCACAGGATAGATATGTGACGGTACACCTGTACAAGCAGGTCCCTGATCTACTCCATCTAAATAATAATGCAAACTACTATCTGAACATCGCATCATACCAATGCGATTACCTTCTACTAATTTATCTAAATCACAAGCATAATTATTTCTTAAAATAACACCATCTCGCATAACGTTAGATCCAGATAACATCCAAGTATCGTGATCAATATCTGTCATAGTAGATGGAAATTCCAATTCATCAGGTCTTATAAGAGTTACACCTACAAAATATTTTCTAGTATTCTGATAAGCAAAAAAAAAAAAAAATATAAATTTTATTTTTAAATATACACCTGCTTCAATTGCTCCTGTCCATCTATCAACCATTTTATCAATTGTCACTTCAAACATTTCGCCATCACGTAGTGCGCGATTTGCGATTACAATGGCTTCGTTGAATTCTCCTAAAGCTCTAGGCCTTAATGCAGTTAATCCATTGTTTATTATTTTTGCATTTTTACTATGTATATGATGAAACCTCAAATCACTATGTAAGAAAAATATTTAATAAAAAATATTTTCAATCATATTTTAAAACTAAATAAAATTTACAAACCTATATAATGTTGTATTGCTAAAACTTGAATTATTTGTGGTAGGACTATAGAAGTCTGTATTATAAACTATAGTTGCTTGTGCTGCCTGGCCATAAAGATCTATAACACCGTAAACTTTCTCAGGCACGTTCATTGCTGCGGCTCCTTGATCAGCACCGTTTACGTAAAAATGTAACGTTGCGTTTTCTTTTCGCATTACACCTACACGATCTCCGACTTGTAATCTATCAAGATTTTGACCATATTGATCTATTATGGTAGTGCCATTATGCATAACTCCATTTTCTGTCATCATCCACGTGCCGGATCTGCAAGGGACATGACCACCTTCGAGCAATAATATGGGCGATAAACTTAACATAAATTTAACAAAATTTATATATATATGTATATATATATAATGTATGTATATATATATATATATATATCAGTATAAATTGGAAATATTATTTTACATACCTAACATTTGTCATAGTGAAGGGAAATTCTAATTCGGTTGGAGAATGAGTGGTAATTCCTATTTCAATAGATCCTGCCCACTTTGTTACAATTTTATCCAATCTTACTTCGAATAATTCATTTGGTTTCAATGGTCTTGAAGTCAATACAACACCATTGTTGAAGTCATCCATTACACTAAAAAAATAATATATAGATCTTGTATTATATATATATATGTTTCAATAAAATTCTATGTATTTCTATATATTTTTAAATAAATTTTTATTTACTTAGGCCTATGCGCAGTACGTCCATTATTAATTACTTCGACATGCGTACCGCAACAAGAATGAAACATAAGTCTGTCTGGTGGTTCTTCTTCTGTTTCTAAATGATAAAAATATTCAAAAAATTCATCATAATATTATATGATAAATCACAGATATCAAATATTAATATGATATTTTTACCATTTAAGCCTTGCAATTGTAATGTATTTCTTCTAGTAACTAGATTTTGTTCTTCCCTTTCATCACGATCAACAATTGTTACTTTTACTGTCATACCATACAAATCTATAACACCCCATACACCAGCAGGTACTTTAGCAGCAATACCTTGATCCAATCCATTTATTAAATAATGAAGATTTCCATTACTTCGTCTTATCATACCTACTCTATCACCTTCCTAAATAATATTTTTGTTTTATTATATAAATTATTATATTGTTTTAGTATATAAATTACTGTTCATTACTGTATCATCTTATTTTTTATTTTAATTACCCTTAATTCATCTAAATTAAATTCTCCATATTCACGACAAGTGCCCTTTCCATTTACTAAAATTCCACAGCCAGACATCATTGTTGTACCTGATCGCATATTAGTCATTGTGGCTGGAAATTCTAATGCTGTTGGACTGTGCATAGTAACTCCAACTTCTATACTGCCTGACCATTTGTGTACAAGTCTATCAATTCGTACCTATTAAAAATTAGTTATATAAATAATAATATAAATATATAATTTTTTGTGTTAAAAATTATTTTTATTTTTCATTTTTATTGTTTACCTCAAATAATTCATTATCCCGTAATGGTCTGTGTGTCATTACTACTCCATTATTAAATTCATCTAAAGGTCTGCGCCTTTCTGCAGTTCTAGCATTATTAGATAACTTTACAAGTGAGCCAACTCTCTCATGAAATCTCAATCTATCTTCTCTAATGGCAGCAGGACTTGGGTTTTTAGGTAAATTAACATTAACATTAACATTTAAATTGACATTCAAATTAGCGACTAGATTAGTTGTTGAGGAATTAGATGCTTCTCCAAGAGCATAATCATTATTAATTTCAACTTCATCTTTTGGTTCATTACATAAAGTAGCAGCAATTTGAGGATGAGTTATAGTCACTTGTACACAATCACCATACATGTCTATTACTGCAAAAATGCGTTCTGGAATATTGCATACAGCTACTCCTTGAGAAACACCATTAATATAAAATATCAATTCATGCTAGAATTTAAAGAAAAATGATTAATAAATATATATAATGTGTATGTAATATATATGTAATATGTACATAAAATAATTTATTAAAATATAATTAAAATATAAATATACATTGACTTACATTAGATGTTCTCATTACTCCTAATGTACTTCCTTCTTCTAATTCATTCAGATCCATTCCATACATTTCTACTGTTCTTATACCATCATGCATTATGCCAGAATCAGACATAATCCATGTTCCTTGTCGTAGATTAGTGGCACAAGCTGGTAATTCCATTATTTCTGGATCACATTCTGTTACTCCAATTTCTATACTACCACTCCATGATGTCATCTACATAATATTATAGATATCTCAAGGTATAAATAATATAATATAAGATAATTAGTAATTATAATTTTTAATTTAGTTGTAGCATTTTATTGTATATTTGTAATTCAATAAAGATAATTTATTGAATTTTATTTGAATATATTAATTTTAAATAAAAA